CACACCTATCGTTTGAGTCGCAAACGAGTGGAACATAGAAGAATTACAATGTAGAAGAACCAAGAAATCGTCCGCGTATCTGAATACTTTGACGACATGCGAGCCTTCTAACTTTTCCTGCAGTTTTTTTGCCCATTTTTGCCAATAGAAGATCACTGAGTAGAGGTGCTATGCATGAGGCGATTGAAACACCCTTTTTCTGCAGATAAATGCAATCATCCCATTGAACGAAAGTAGAGGTAAGGTACAGCAAAACCAGGTCAAGAAAATCTCGCGCACTGACGCCAGTGTTTAATTGGAAGTTCAATTCCCCGAAAATTTCTATGTTATCCCTTATACATTCTAATACCTCATCGTGAGGCAGAGAGTAGTATAGGTCCTTTATGTCAATTGAAAAACCGAAAAGATCAGATTGATTTGACTGTTTGAAAAATTCTATCAGAGCCTGCGAGTATTTGATCAAAAATGGGTGATCAATCTTTAGACACTTTAGATAGGTCTGAATAAACAAGCCGAGTTGCTTATGCCACTTACCACTTTCTGTCACAATGACACGGAAGGGCATGTCAACCTTGTGTATTTTGGCAGAAAAAAACATGCTGAGCCCATTTTTGTCACTTTTGCTAATATGCTGGGCTAACTGTTTTAACTCTAGTTTACGACACATTTCCTTGGTCTTCGTCTTTACTCTATCTAGACGAATGTCGGTACAACATTTGAAAACAGAGTCGATAGCTGTGACCACCTTTTCTAGGTACAAGCAATTAGGAAGAACGGCGAATCCACCCTCCTTATCTGTCGGCACGACACAAAGTTCATTGTCTCTAAGAAACTTGGTCGTCTTCCACACCGGAAGGCTGTTGCTGGTAAGCTTACCCCGTAGGAGCACGTCGACGCCTTCTGAGATGCACTTGTCCGAATCCTCTGAAGCGCGGCCAGCAACAGAGCACACCATTGAAAGAAGCTCGGGTGCGGATCTCTCTCGGTCGACGGCGAACTTAGGACCTAGGGCGAGGGTGTTGTGGACGTAGTCTGGGAGGACGACGTCACTGCATGAGTGGACCACACCTGATTGCCGGGGCCTGGTTGGGCGCTGCGCATGAAGGCCAGTGAGCTCACGTGACCACAGGCAGTTTGCAGTGTATTCGATTCGGTCGCAGTACTCTCGCCACCTTCTTTTCTGCACTCCCGGTGTTAGATCTGTTTGTCGATTGAAGCTGGACATGCAGGGCGTCCCGGTACGTGCACTCTTGTCGGTGCCATTCAGACCGAAGAATTTCGCACACCCGTATGCCATGCCCGATAGAGGGGTGGTAACCTCCAAACAAGGCTTTAACTTCCAAAGGGAGCTGCTTGGTGCGAATGCAGAAGGAAAAGGTGCGCGCACAGCTAATGCGGACTGCGATGAGAGTTACGAGGACTGAATGATGAAGAGAAACACACGAAAAAGGGCCCGAATAACTAGAAATGTAACTTAGAAGCGTGTAGGACGCAGAGTAGGAGGTGTGAAGCCCATAGACCACAATTCTTCGCATATAATGTGCTGGATGAGGTCACGCAGATGACCATGAGACGTGGAGTGGTGGTTACCAATGTCCGGTTGGCGATGAACGGAGACCAGCGCATCAAGGCGCTGGCGTGTCGTCACGACATCAGCGGTGGTAGCTGGGTTTTGCACAGCGAGGGCATTATAGGCAACAGGTGCAATGCCTTTCAATATGTGGCGCACTTTGTCCGGTTCCGGCATGTATTGATTCACACGCCGGCACAGTGCGAGGACATCCTCGATGTATGAAGTGTACGATTCATCGGGATGTTGTCGGCGAGTATCGAGTGCCCTCTTTGCGACTGCGGATGGAATGACCGGTGTACCAAAAACGTGTCGCAGCTGCCGCTGGAAGGTAGCCCAGTCGGGTAAGTCAATGACGTGGTTAAAATACCATGTCTTCGCGACTCCGGTCAGATAAAAAGGAACATAACACAGTTTGGCGGCCTTGTCCCACCAATTAGCTGTACTTACGTGGTCGCAGTCATCCAGTCTTCTACACGAAGACCAGCGAAGAGCGGGGGTTCCTGCAAATATCCGTGTATGTAAATAGGTGGGGCAGCTTGCGGCGGTGCGTGGTTGATGACATCAGCGCCGGCAGGCTCGGCCTGGGACATGCTGCCTGACTGTGGGCGCAAGCGGCGGTCTGAACGAAGCTCCAGGGGGTAGAGCGGGCTGTGGGAGGACAGAGGACCGACACACCGTTGCGACAGAGTTTATTTACAGACGATGACGATGACACAGAGTGGCCATGAGGACAGAGACAAGCGGATAATGATTATGATCATGCAGAAATGAGAACAATGTGACAAACACCCACAATATATATATATATATATATATATATATATATATATATATATATATATATATATATATATATATATATATATATATATATATATATATATATATATATATATATATATATATATATATATATAATGAGATCTAACAGACAGTAATGCCAAGGAATATACAGGGGAAGTTATTAGAACCAATGGAATGTAAATAAGAAAAAAGAAAAGTGGATGAAAAAATAACCAGCCGTGCTCGTTTCCTGCTCACGGCTGGTTATTTTTTTCATCCACTTTTCTTTCTTCTTATTTGCATTCTATTGGTTCTAATAACTTCCCCTGTACATTCCTTGGCTTTACTGTCTGTTAGATCTCATTAATAATGTGTTAAAACACGGAAAAACGAGCCCTTAGGTCTACACTTCTTTCCCTTATATATAAAATATATACACTTCTTTTCCTTATATAAATATATAAATAAGGGAAAGAATATATAAATAAGGGAAAGAAGTATGTACGTAAGGGCTCGTTTTTCCGTGTTTTGACACAATATTAATGAGATTTAACAGACAGTAATGCCAAGGAATGTACAGGGGAAGTTATTAGAACCATTGGAATGTAAATAAGAAGAAAGTGGGTGAAAAAATAACCAGCCGTAAGCAGGAATCGAACCTACGACCTGCGAATAACGCGTTCGATGCTTTAACCACTGAGCTATCACAGCGGCCTTCCCTCCATCCGCTTTTTTGGGTTTATATGTGAATTTAGAAGTAAGAGTGTCAGTCAGCGGCATCTATAAGCCAAGCGACGAGTGTGAAACACTCTTTTATGCGCATGTGTGGCATCACGTAGCACACTCCTACTCTAACACTGAAATAAACTTTCTTGATGTACTCGTTCGAGTTGACGGTGGTGCGTTGGTAGCTAGCGTATACAGAAAACCTGCGGACAGGCAACAATACCTGCACTTCAAAAGCTGCCACCCGCGACATTGCTAGACCAGCATTCCCTATTCCCAAGCACACAGATTCCGACGAATCTGCTACCGCACCGAGGACTTCCACTAGAACAGCACACATATGCGCGAAGTACTCTTTAATCAAGAATACCCGCCAGCTATCATCGATGACGCCATCAAAAAAGCTGAAAATCTGGACCGCCAGATTCTCCTCAACCACCAGAAAAACGCCGACCAACACCGCAACAAAAACTAGCTATTAACTTTCACGAGCAACCCATCAAACATAAACAAGGTCCTGAAAAAACACTTTAACATATTGGAACAGAGCGTGCGACTATCCAAAATTTTCACTTCTCCTCCTTGTGTGGTATACAGACGGCCGAAAAATATAAAGGATCATTTAATAAATTCAAAGATAGGCATTAAATCTCAAATTGGGTGTCGCCCTTGCAGAAAAAGCAGATGCAAGGTATGCAAACACATGCAGACAACGACAGTGGCGAAAAGCACCCACTCGGATTTTAAGCACAGGATAAGAGGTGCACTAGACTGTGACTCAGACAACGTCATATACCTCCTGGAATGTGGGGTATGTAACAAGCAATACGTGGGCCAGACAGACACTCCGTTTAGAATTAGATTCAACAACCATCGGGCGCATGTACGATCCCTGCCAGGCCTTCCACTTTCAAAAAACAGTACATTAAAAGACCACAGCTTTGATGACATCAGGGTTACACTATTAGAAAACAACTTTCGAACATTGAGAGAACGGGAACAACGGGAATCTTATTTTATCTACTAATTTAACACGATAAAATACGGAATAAATGAACACCCAGGCACTCTGTCAGCGTTACGACCGCTAAAAGACGCAAACGCTTCTCTCTAACCAGTCCGTTCTCATTACGACAATACTATTACCCGCTAACAAAGCATTTATCCTATGCATCTGAAAACATAGAAATGGTTTGCCTCATCAAGCACAGCCGGAACGCACAGATAAGTGGTCCCGGATGTCGTACAGCCCCCTCCCCCCTTTTCTTTTTTGTTCCTTCAATGTTTAACGCACATTTTCTGTTCCATCACTGACAGGAGCCATTGCATATAATGAGTATCGATGGCGGCGCCTCAATTACCGGCTTTTTCATTCCTCCCGACACCACTAGCACGCACTCGAAGCGCTTAAGCTCTCCCCATCAACCTGTCTTAAACTTCAAAGACGAACGAACGCCAGTGGATTACACGGGAAGGTGAAATACAAGAACGGCGGCACACTGCCCACTTGGGGAAGAGTAGGCGCGGGGGAGGTATTGTTGACAATGATGGCATTGCTCGTCTACCTTTGCGCTACTCTGATGAGATGCTGCCCCTTTCTAATTCCACCGTGTCGGTCTTGCTTCTTCTCCTAGATTTTCTATGTTTATTTAACGTTTCTAAAGTTATTTCACATAGTGCACTCACAAAAACACACGTATATATATATATATATACATAACTTTCGTTGCTAATATGATCTTACACAGTCTACTCTTTCAGGCAAACTCTATCGTAAAGCCTGCAATAAAGAAAATTAACTAATAAAAAAAAACAGGGCCCGTCCGGGATTTGAACCCGGGACCTCTCGCACCCAAAGCGAGAATCATACCCCTAGACCAACGGGCCGACAGTGCTGACTGGGTTGTTGTTACTATCACTCACTGAAGTACCGTAATTTGTTCTTTTTTTTTGTAATTGTGTATAGTTATTACATTGTATTTCGGCTTCCAAGTATCAAAATTATACTCACCTACCGTGCCTTACGCGAGAACTGTCATTGTTGTTCAAGTCTCGTCTCCTTCAATCAGCAGCAGTGGCTGTACGGCGAGGGGCAGGTAGTGTCTGTCGGCAGGTGAGTCGTGCGTTCGTGCTGGCCGTGGGATCAAGAAAGTGGGGCTACAAAGTAGTGGTTGGCCCCTCTTCAGCTGCGTGACATGTTTAACACGACCTCAACTATCCTGTAACTGAGTCTGCGTACGCTTGTACGATCGCTGCACAGTCTTGTTTACGCACTACACGGCTACAGTGGGGTGCAGCTTCGCCTACTTACCACGGACGACGTCATGTTCTTGTCGCCTGCAAATCTCAGTAAGCCAAAGTTGCATTGTGGACTTCTAAGCTGGTACGAGCACTACCCCCCCCCCCCCCCGACAAAAAAAAAAAAAAACGCTGCTGAGGTAATGGCCTGCACGATAAATTATATCTTGTGTGCGAACCAATCTACAGTTGATATCGAGAGTTCTATCGAGGAGCGCGATAAGTACGCTAATAGAACTAGTATATACTGTTTGAATTTATCAGACGACAATGGAACTCACCATGGTAAACACCGTGGAAAAAAACGCAAGGGTTCACAGCCCGAGCTAGACTGAATTGGTCTGCCTAATTGCTGCGAATGAATGACATGACTGTGGATGAAAGTAGTTGTGGCAATGTCAAATACACAAAAATAAATAAAAAAATCTGCGTAAAATACACAACAGTGCTGTTATCGCGTCTTCATCTTGTGTTTTGTCAGTTTTACGCAGGTTTTTTTTTTTTCCTGTTACCTGTCCTGGTGAAGGATCGCATGAGAGCCATAACCCCTTCTGGCCAGGGGTTTTACTTGGGGGCACCACGTTCCCTCAGGAGGGCAGGGTACATGTGCATTGTGCTTTGACTGCTTTCTTTTATTAGGGGGTGGGGTTTAGTGCTTTTATATGCCCCACTAGGGCCGCCCTTGCTACAGGCCCCACATGTACAATTCCGCGCAAGAACTTTGAAGGCACATCATGCACCATTAGTTTTTTAAATGCCTTGAAACACGATGTGCACCTTGGTGCAGGCTTCCCGAGTAGATAACTAAGGATCATTTAACTCCATTGTGCTGTGTCTTGCAGCATAGCATCACTTTGCTGAAGACAGTAGCATGTTAGACGATCGTTTGGCATGCCGTTCCAGGAGTATGTCAGCATTATTTTTCTTTGCCTGAAATCGCTACAACAGAAAAATCAAACTGTGCCTACATTTGGGCCTAATATTTTTATATATTTAATGCAAAAATTGGAGCTGACTGGTTGTAGGATAATTATTGAATTACATGTTAATTGACAATAATTACTAAAACTCATGCCACGGCCGCTGAATAAAAAACAAGGTGCGCCCTGCTGTGTGCCGCCGAAGCAGCGTGACGAGCCTAGTTCACCTCACGCCGGCTCTGGCACCACCGCTTCTCTCAAGAGAAACACTGTCACACGCATTTCTACACGGCACACTAGGCCGTAAATAACGCATTTTGTAGCTGCACATCACAGGTTCGACTCTGAGTTGTTATTAGAAATACCTATTACACCACGTATGTGAACAGTTTGCCCTAGGAGGGCCAATCTTTCGTAGAGTATAGGCCTCAATGAATGCTGCCCGTTTGATCTACCTGAACTGTAAATGAGTGTTCTATTGTGAAAATAATTGGCCTCACAAAGCAGTGACCGTGTGCAAACAAACCATACGACAAATCACACACTCATAAATCCTGCGCCGACCTCCAGTTTGCCTTGCACGGTGGCTCACAACAGCTTTGCAGCATCACACCACTGCAAAACACCGTCTGTTACAAACGTGTGCACAATAAAACCGTGCTCTAGCACAGAAAACATGTGTCTAGCTGCCAACACACACGGTCACACAAAGCAGTGGCCGTGCACAAACAAATTACTCGACAAAGCATGCGAACGCTGTCCTGCGGGGACACAGCTGCTGCATGAACCGGCGTCTACTCTGCGGACGGGATCAATGACGTTCTTCCTCTCCCTGACGGTCCTTGGCCGGAATGAGTCTTCAGCCAGGTTTCCCGACGCTGTAGATCGCAGGAAAAGTTGTGGTACTGCAAGCTAGCGTCTCGCGTACGACTTGCACAGCAGAACACACAGTGGCACACACAGCGGCACTGGAGACTCGTTGCACCACACCGCTAAAAAAATGACTGCACACACGCACGCATTAAAAACTGTCCTAAAACACAGGAAACATAGGGCGAACTGCCCCCTACACACGATCGCACACAAAATAAGCATGAGAAAGCACACGGACATGCACAAATCCTCACGCAACCACATAGAAACACGAAAAGCCATTCACTTCAACGGGTGGAGCGTCAGTGCCCTGTCAGCTTTGCCCAGACACGCTCGCCCATTGATTGTGATGCGACGCAGTAGGCCGCACCTTGTTTTTCATCCAACGGTCATGCCCGCACAAAATAATGCATTCTATCGTTAATTACTAAAACCTATACAAAATAATGCGTTCCTACATTTTCTTTTTTTGGATTGTAATACCGAGTGGCGTGCCATGCAAGTTTGATGCATTCGCAGACAGTACATCATAATTTGCCCCGGGAGGGGATAAAAGACAAACTTCAGAGGAGTCAGAGGAGCGTGGTGGTGTGTCTACATAACCTTACCATTGTTTGACAGTTGCTTTGGACAATTTCTTTAAGACGCACCTATTAAAAAAGTGTGAACTCTGTGCACTATCATGAACCGGCATGGGACGCTATATCTATGTGCAGTGGTGAGTGCATGATACTCTGCTAAAACTGTCAAAGACAACTTGTAAAGCTACAACGTCACAGAGAATCAAGAGATCTAGAGGTTTACAGTCGAACAACAAAGGTATTGAACAATAAAAGCATGGCTTGAGTGCTCTGCACCACACTTCACTACCCATGCTGCACGAAGAACCAAACTGAAATTACAGAAAAAGATTTGTGAACAGTTTGATAGCTAATGCTATCGAAGACGAAGCCTGTACTTTCCATAATTTCCATGGGGGTTCAACGATCGAAGTACCTCTCAAGGCAATTTTATGGGTGCTGGCCGAAAACGGCTTCCACGCATGCAGGGCATGGCAGCGGGGCATGAAAGCAGTGGTCGGGTGCGACTACGTCGGTGGCTCAACCAGAGCCTGCGGGTGGAGATGAGTGATGGCCGCACCCTGGTGGGCAGCTTCCTCTGCACCGACCGAGACCAGAACATCATCCTCGGCTCTTGCTCCGAGTACCTTCAGCCAGGTGAGACCGGTCATTCTTTTAAATGGGAGAAAAAAACAAAGGCCTTTGCTGCAGGTGAAACCTGCATCTTATGGCTTACATGTGTAATGCTTTGTCAACTCAGCTACCACTATACCTGGTGACAACCTATCTTGAAATTGCAGCGGAGGCTACGAAGGCGGAGCTTGGGCAAATCGGTGGTGCTCAGCAAGTAGTACAGCAGCTGTCGGCTTATTTAAGTTTAGCTTGCTTGACCTGCTAATGCATTTACAAACTATGTACATGAAAAGTGTGAATGGGAGAAGCATTTAAATGGTTCAGTGTACACTTCAGTGCTACTCTTTTGTGAATATATATATATTTTTTAAAGCTAAACAGTGTGTTTGCAGCAGCGTACTGAACAACTACATCATGAATGGAATGCCATGTTTACCTTGGAAAATGGGTGTGCTTGTTCAGTTGATGCTGTCTAATAAATGAAAAAAAAAAAGCATTTTTGTGAAGTTAATAGTAACTGTATTTTGCCTACAACTCCCCGCAATCGCTTGAGTCTCATGATAAATGAGAAAATTATGAGTTGACTTAGATGCTGTTCTTTGGCGTGCTAGCACATACGCATTTCAGTTCTGTAGCTTCCTCAGCCAAGGCAAGCAGCCAGGGGAAAATTTCCAGTGAACTCTGGACAATGATCTCTTTTTTAGTTTTATAGCCATTTCGTGTTCTTGAAAGGCAGTTTTGGCCTACTTCAAATTTAACTGCAACCTTGATTCTTTTTGACATATCACGCTGAGCTGGTAAAAGCAGTTAAAAAATATATAACTTAAAAGAAAACACTTATGTTTTTCGACTCTCATCTCCCCTTGAGGCAGCCAGTGTTTCACACTCAGACATTCCCTTTCTCGTGGCACGCTTCAGGCTTGCCTCATGAAGCAAAGCTCGTCTACACTTGGTGACTGTAACAGACCGGACTATCTGCTATCAGCATTTGCCCTAGGCGATATTGTCTCTTCCTCCTCTCCACTGTTTCGTGCGCTTTACTTTCCTTCCTTTGCTTTCTTTCCCCCTTCCCCGCTGTGAGCGCGGCTACTTAAGCCCAGCAAATAAACGGCCAGGGGTCTTTTCGTCATGGCGAGGCCCAGCCAAGTGTTCATCGTCGTCTTGTCTCTGAGTTAAACGTTACATGGTGTCAGAAGTGGTCCTGACGTTTGAAATAGACCTCGTCAAGCCCCCAGAACCGCTGCAACTGTCCGGCAACATCAGGAAAAACTGGCTCGTATTCAAGCAGAAGCTGCAGCTGTTCGTCACCGCTACGGAACCGGAGAAGCCCCGCCCATCGGCCGTAAAAACAGCGATTCTTCTGAGCATTGCGGGGGACGAGGCGTCGATGTCTACAACAACTTCTCGTTTGCCACAGGTGAGAGCAGAGAAGATTATGACACGTTAGTTAGTGCGGAAGTTTGAAGAATACTGTGTCGACCAGGGTAATGAAGTCTACGAAAGGCACATTTTTCGACTGCGAACACAGGAAGAGGCGGAGCCTTTTGAGCGGTTCCTACGGGACTTAAAAAAGCAAGCAAAGCTGTGCAACTTCGGTACGCTTGAAGAGTCCATGATCAGGGATCAAGTGGTGTTTGGGACAAATAATGCGAAACTTCGAGAAAAGTTGCTGAGTGACAAAGACCTAAACTTGCAGAAAGCAGAAGAAATTTGCAAAGCCGCTGAGCTTGCTGCCATTCAAAGCGCAGCATGGTCAAATGAAAGCCTGCACGTTGACTTTACACGCCGCACACACCGCACGAAGTTTGCGAATGGAACTCGGTGTCGAAATTGTAACAAGGGACATGCCCCCGATTGGTGCCCGGCGTATGGAAAAACTTGTTATGCATGCAAGAAACGAAATGACTTCGCCGCATGCTGCAACAATGCGCGCAAGATAAGCGAGGTTCACAAAGCCGAAAAAAGCGATGAAAATTTTGACATCTTGGGCATCAGCATTTGCGGCGTCACCGGAGACATAGGAGCGGATTGGATGGTTCGCGGAAAAATAGCTGGTCAGGAGATACAATTCAAGGTAGATACCGGGTCTCAGGCGAATTTGCTGCCCCTAACCCTGTTCAATCGAATCGCCCACGCAAGCACTCCGGGAAAGAGCGCCGCTGTCCTCACCGCATACAACGGCAGTGCAATCAAACACGTTGGCGTGGCGACCGAAGATCTCAAGATAAGCGAAGCACAGCATTCAGTCTCGTTCTTTATCGTGAAAAAGGGGCACCAAGCCATCCTTGGCTTAAAGACATGCCAGCAGTTTGGTCTGGTACTGGTCACGATGGACGCCGTAAATGTAGGCGATGAGCAAACGAAATTCCAGCTTGCATTTCCTGACCTCTTCAGTGGCACCGGCTGCGTCAAGCGACCCTACAAAATGGTGCTACGAGAGGATGCCGTTCCAGTCGTGCAGCCTGCCCGTAGAGTACCCATAGCGTTGAAAGGACGCCTTCGACAAGAACTGCAACGAATGGAAAAGGCCTCAATCATCGTCAAGGTGGATGAACCAACTGACTGGGTGAGCCCCCTGGTAGTTGTGCACAAGAAGGATGGTACCCTTCGCATTTGCATGGACCCTAGAGCAGTGAACAGGAGCATTAAGCGGGAGCACTATCCTATGCCTTCACGAGAGGACATAGAGAGCGAGCTGGCAGGAGCACAATACTTCTCCCGGCTTGACGCTAATGCCGGCTTTCATCAGATTCCTTTAGATGAGGCCACTTCACGAATATGCATTTTTGCGACACCATTTGGGTGGTACCGTTTTTTGCGTCTGCCTTTCGGAATTTCCTCAGCCAGCGAGGTGTTCCAGAAGACTCTAACAGAGATGTTCGAAGGGCTGCCGGGAGTGCGCGTCTACGTAGACGACGTTTTAATATGGGGCGACTCAAAGGAAGAACACGACGAACGCGTCACTGCAGTGCTAAGGCGGGCGCAAAAGGAAGGGCTGACACTTAATCCAGCTAAATGCGTGTTCTGCACCACGCAGGTTGCATTCCTTGGCGATGTTATCAGAAGAGACGGAATTCGTCCTAGTCCCGATTTAATCGAAAGCGTCCGTGCCATGCCAGCCCCAAAAGATAAACAGGGTGTGCGCAGATTACTCGGGGTTGTGAACTACTTTCGGAAGTACCTGCGAGCTTTGAGCGACAAAACGGCGTTGCTGCGTAGCCTGGTGAAAGAAGCATCGGTGTTTGAGTGGACAACAGCCCATGAGCGCGAATGGGACCAGATATGCGCAGCACTCGCTAAGCCTCCGTTGCTGGCTCTTTTTGATGAAAAAAGAAACACTAAGGTAAGTGCGGACGCCTCAGGAACAGGTATCGGCACTGCCTTATTGCAAAGACACGGGGATGACTGGCGCCCAGTGACCTACACCTCAAGAGCGCTGACGCCGAGTGAAGAGCGATACGTCCAGATAGAAAAGGAAACACTGGCAATTGTTTTCGCTTGTGAAAAATTTCATCAGTTCGTGTATGGACGAAGCATTACAATAGAAACTGATCACAGGCCATTACTTGCGATTGCCGAAAAAAACATTGCAGATATGCCACCCAGGCTACAGCGGTTTTTCATCCGTCTTATGAAATATGATTTTTTGTTGCAGTTTGTACCTGGTAGGGACCTGTTACTTGCAGACCTGCTGTCTCGTGCCGCACTACCAATTGGCGGAGGCGACTAAGTCGAGGACGTGGACGTCCACACAACGCAAGTAGTCACCAGCATCATAAGCAAAGCGACTATGTTGCAGCTGCAGAAGGAAACCCTCGAAGATCCGCTTCTCAGCCGCACCATGAAACAAATGGAAGATGGCATGGCAATAGACGGCATACTGAAACCGTATACGGAAGAGGTATCCGTGGTCAATGGAGTGGTGTTAAAGGGTTGCAAAGTTGTGGTGCCTAAATCAATGCGTGCGGAAATTCTTGAGCGAATTCACAAAGGCCACTTGGGTATGAACAAGTGCAAAGCTAGAGCCCGTAGACTGGTTTTCTGGCCGGGAATGAGCAGTGACATTGAGCAACGAGCGCGAACGTGCAGCGTATGTCGAAAGTATGCATACAGTCAACCGAGTGAACCCCTCCTGCTACAGCCAACGCCCGACCGACCGTGGCATCGCGTAGGCATAGACCTATTTACATTCGCTGGAGAACACTACGTAGTTGTGTTTGATGCCCATTCTAACTTTCCTGACGTCGAGAAACTCAGAGGTACCACGGCGGCGGAAGTAATCGACAAGATATCTGCTATCTTCTCGGGATACGGCATTCCCAACCAAGTTTGCACCGACAACAGGCCTCAATTTGCATCGCGAGAGTTCGCGTCCTTCGTGCGCCGATATGACTTCGAGCATATCACCTCAAGTCCAGAGTTCCCACGCTCAAATGGCTTAGCTGAAAAGGGGGTACAGATCGTGAAGCGTATTCTAAAGAAAACCCACGAGTCCCGGGGTGATGTATGGCTTGGTCTGTTGGCTTATCGATCTTCTCCCTTTGACAGCGGTCACTCACCCGGAGAACTACTGCAAGGTCGCCGCCTGCACGCCACTCTTCCAGAATACAACGTCGACGGAGGCATACCCGTATGAAAACAGCGACAGTCTTCCCGAGGCAGGCGACTACCACCCTTGGAAGCCGGAAATGTGGTCCGGATCAAACATGGAAGCTGGTCACGCCGAGCGAAAGTGGTACAAGAGACTGCACCACGATCATACGTGGTAAGAACGAAAGATCATGGGCTCCTGAGACGGAACCGACAGCACTTGCTGCGAACGGACGAAAACTTCGACGACGAGGTCAGCCCCGAGGGTAATCCGAACCCCGACAGGAGGCCCCCGACGAAGTTCAGTGATGGACACCGAGGCAACATTACGCTGGACAACCCACTGGGAAGTCACCAGGCGCAACCAGCTCAGCCAGAGGAAGATTATAACGCCACCATTTCTCCAGACACTCCAGGAAGCCCACTGGCTGGCC